ATAACCCAATACCTTATTCAAACTAGTTCCCATCATCAAAACACCTTAAATAACATCAAATTACCCGAAACACATCAGATTCAAGCCTAATTTTTGAGAAATCTTCCGAAATACGCTTTCGATCAAAATCCTAACCAAACCACATCTGAATGAATTGAAATTTTGCACACACATCCCAAATGACACAACGAAGCTACTGCAACTTTCGGAATTCCATTCCGACCCCTATATCAAAATTTCGCCTATCAACCGGAAATCATCAAAATATCAACTTCGCCAATTCAAGCCAAATTCTACTCCGGACCTCCAAAATCCATTTCGATCACACTTCTAAGTCATAAATCACATCCTGAAACTAACCGAACCATCGTAACGCACATCCGAGCCCTCTAACATACAAGTCAACATCCGGTTGACTTTTCCAACTTATTCTTAAAAGAGACTAAGTTTCTCATTTCTTACCAAATTCACTTCGAACACCAATTAATCCACTCGATCACATAAAACACGGATAACGGAGCATAAAGAAGTAGAAATGGGAAAAATAGAGCGGTAACTCATGAGACTACTGGCCGGGTCATCACAGTTGAACTGGAAATTGATTAAGTAATTATCAAAGAAAGTAGTCACAAAAACTTCTATGACACAGTTTTAACTTTTTAATGTAAGTTATTTACTCTATGTTTTAAGATTTCATATCAGCCTAACTTAGAGTTACCTATTAAGTAATCCGATGGTATACAGTTTCACCTTCAATAAACGAAACTTAAACTCTTATTACTAATCCCTTTCATTTTGGCATTCCCAACTATAGCTAGAATCGGCCTAAACCAGGTAGCTCAACAGAATTCCAATATAAACTTCAATCTTCTCACCCTTAGTTGGATTCATCTAATTATGCAAGCATTAGATATGTTTCTGTTAAAACCTTGTATTAAAAAATCAGTAAATGAACAAGCGTTAGTTTAAAAACAAAAGCAGAAAATTTCGAGCCCACAAGTTTCTTGTGTTTCCTTAAACAATTTAATCCACTCACAATGTCCAAAATTGCGGATTAATTCCTCCTAGGATAGAACGGAATAACTATTCTGTGATAGCAGAACTTCAAATCACAGAATTTTGTCAAACTCAAATGGTGGAGCAAATCACACAAAATGCTTACGTTTTTGGTTTTGGAAAACAACGCAGAATGCAGAAGTTTGAGGGGAGTGATTTCAGATTTTTCGGTGGTGAAAATGAGGCTAAGCCCCTCTATTTATAGCCAAATTTGGCACTGTTTCTGAAAAGGTTTGCAACCTTTCAGAACAACCATAGCTGTTGGAACAGGTGGGAAAAATTGGGGGAAACAACTAATAGATTTAAAATAAACCGAAAAAGAAAATGGACCGGACTGGGTTGCGGGTCATGGGTTATTCCGGATTGAATTGTCGTTAATTAATTGAAAAGAATTTTATCCAAAAAGATTAATCAATCAATCAATCTTTGACTGAATCTGAATCCGAAGTCGAGCGAGCAACGACGACGATGGCGCGAGGCACCACTTCTTCTTAACTCTTTAAGAGCTAGAATATGAGCTGCTATATATATACACAAAAGTTTTCTTTTCTTCTTCCAATGAGGGACAAAGTGCATTAGTAAAGTGAACTAATTCAAAATTTCACTTCCCTCCATTTCTTTTCCCACCATTTTCCATTCACACCTTCTTTTGTTATTAATAACAAAACCCAACAATCCCCCACATGAATGGGGAATGTCTATCCGAAACAAATATGCATGAAAAAACTATGTGTGATTCGCAAGTAAAGATTAACCGCATCTGGATAAGTAGGTTTCCCTTTGAACTTTCAGTAGTGAACATATGTCGGATATACTCGATCAATCGGTAGATTTGATATCTTTGAACAGTCGAACTTTGGTGTATACCTAGACAGCCATATGTCACACAATTAACCCTTAACCGTCTTTGGTTCTCATTGTTGTGTTCATTTCAGCCATGAACACTGCCTGGTTTTATAAGTGCGTAGAGAACTGGCCTTACAACATTCTCCTTGAAGCGTCTTATACTTCACACTTATATAGGTGATTCCTAAACGTGTTATCCCCTAGATACACGATTTGATATACCTCATATCAAACTTAGAAACCATTAAAAAGTCCTACTACTTTATCCTTGGTACTGAACATTGTCTGCATCATGAGAATGGACCAAAATTTTATTTGACAATGTTGAACCGTCACTAATGACTTTGTTTGATCTCCTTGAACCTAGATCTTGGGATCTCCAGTCTTCTAGGTAGAGTTACCGCCATAGTGACTTGTCCTCGGCCATAGTCCCATTCCCTTTGATGACTGCTCAACTGCCTCTCTAGGTAGGTCTTTTGTAAGCGGATCTGATACATTATCTTTTGATTTTACATAGTCAATTGTGATAATTCGACTAGAGAGTAGTTGCCTAACGGTATTATGCCTTCGTCAAATGTGACGAGATTTCCCGTTATACACACTCACAGCCCTTCATATTGTTGCTTGACTGTCGCAATGTATGCATACAGGTGCCAAAGGTTTGGGCCAAAAAGGAATGTCTTCTAAGAAATTTCGGAGCCATTCAGCTTCTTCACCGGCCTTGTCTAAAGCTATAAACTCAGACTCCATTGTAAAGCGAGCGATGCATGTCTGTTTGGACGACTTCCAAGACACTGCTCCTCCACCAATAGTAAAAATGTATCCACTTGTGGATTTTGTTTCCGTTGATCCGGTGATCCAATTTGCATCACTATATTCCTTAATAACTGTGGGATAATTATTGTAATGTAATGCATAGTCTTGGATATATTTCAAATATCCCAAAACTCGTTTCATTGCTATCCAATGAGCTTGGTTGGGTTTACTTGTGTATCGACTAAGCTTGCTTATTGCACAAGCTATATCAGGTCGTGTACAATTCATAATGTACATCAAACTTCCCAACACTCGAGCATATTCCAATTGAGATTTACTTTGACCTTTATTCTTTACAAGAGTATGGTTTAAATCAATTGGCGTTTTTGCTTATTTAAAGTCCAAATATTTGAACTTTTCAAGAACCATTTTAATATAATGATATTAAGAAAAAGCTAGACCTTGAGGAGTCTATAGGATCTTAATTTCCAAAATTAAATTGGCAACTCCTAAATCTTTCATATCAAATTTACTAGTAAGCATGCGCTTAGTAGCATTTATGTTAGTAATATCGTTACTCATTATCAACATACCATCCACATATAAACAAACATTGACTACAAAGATTTGGAGTATTCTTAATGTAAACACATTTGTCACACTCATTGATCTTGAAACCATTTGACAACACTGTTTGGTCAAATTTCGCATGCCATTGTTTTGGTGCTTGTTTTAGTCCGTAAAGTGACTTAACAAATCGACACACCTTCTTTTCTTTTCCGGGAACTACAAACCCTTCAGGTTTTTCCATATAGATTTTTCCTCTAAATATCCATTTAATAAGGCCATTTTTACATCCATCTGATGGATTTGAAGGCCATACACGACGGCTAACGCTATTAACACCTGGATAGATGTAATCCTTGTTACCGACGAGTATGTGTCAAAGTAATCAAGACCTTCTCATTGTCTAAACCCTTTAACAACTAATTTTGCCTTATATTTGTCAATAGTACCATTAGCTTTCATTTTCCTTTTGAAAATCCATTTAGAACCCAAAGGTTTATTTCCTAGAGGAAGATCAACCAATTCCCAAGTATGATTACTTAATATGGATTCTATCTCACTATTGACTGCCTCATTCTAATATTGTGCTTCCGAGGAAGACGTTTCTTCTTTGAACGTTTGAGGCTCATTTTCCAATAAGAATGCCAGAAAATCTTGTCCAAAGGAAGTAGTTGTCCTTTGACGTTTACTACGTCTTGGATTTTCCTCATCAAATGTACTTTCCTTTGCTTCTTCCCGAGGTCAATTAGATTTTTCATTAGATGACTCACATTCCATTTTATACGGATAAATATTCTCAAAGAATTCAGCATTATTCGATTCAATTACCGTGTTAATATGAATGTCGGTATTTTCTGATTTATGAACCAAAAAATGATATGCATTACTATTTGTTGCATATCCTACGAAAATGCAATCAACGGTTTTTGGTAAAATTTTTACCCTTTTGGGTTTAGGAACTTGCACTTTAGCCAAACACCCCCACACTTTAAAATATTTTAAGTTGGGTTTCCTTCCTTTCCATTTTTCAAATGGAATGGATTGCGTTTTGCTATGGGGAACCCGATTCAGTATTCGATTAGCTATAAGAATAGCTTCCCCCCGTAAGTTCTGAGGTAAACCAGAACTTATTAACAAGGCGTTCATCATCTCCTTTAACGTTCTATTCTTTCTTTCCGTAATTCCATTAGATTGCGGTGAGTAAGGGACAGTTGTTTGGTGAATAATTCCATTTTTCAAACATATTTCTTCAAAAGGAAATTCATATTCGCCGCATCTATCACTTCTTATCATTTTGATCTTTTTGTTTAATTGCGTTTCAACTTCATTTTTGTATTGCTTGAATGCGTTTATTGCTTCATTTTTACTATTAAGTAAGTAAATATAGCAATATCTAGTACTGTCGTCAATGAAAGTTATGAAATATTTTTTCCCACCGCGAGATGGTATTGGCTTCATGTCGCGAATATCCGTGTGAATTAAGTCTAAAGGATTTGAATTCCTTTCAATTGACTTATAAGGATACTTAACATACTTTGATTCCACACATATTTAACATTTCGAGTTATTTCATTCAAACTTAGGCAATACTTCCAAATTAATCATTTTTTGCAAAGTTTTGAAGTTGACGTGGCCTAAACGTTCATGCCATAAATTATTTGACTCGAGCAAGTAAGAAGAAGCTGAAATTTTATTCATATCAATGGCAATTACATTGAGTTTAAAAAGGCCCTCAGTCAGGTAACCTTTTCCTACATACATTTCATTCTTACTAACTACAACCCTGTCGGAAACAAAAACATACTAAAGCCATTCTTGACTAGAAGTGATGTCGAGACTAAATTCTTCTGCATTTCAGGAACATGTAGAACATCTTTTAGAGTCACAATCTTTCCAGAAGTCATCTTCAAAGCTATCTTGCCCATTCCTTCAATTTTTGTAGTAGCGGAATTTGCCATAAACACTGTCTCGTTGGGTCCAGTGGGAGCATATGAAGTAAACAACTCCTTGTTAGCACAAACATGTCAAGTTGCTCCCAAATCAATCCACCATTCTCTAGGATTTCCGACTAGGTTGCATTCTGAAAGCATGGCACATAAGTCGTCTATTTCATTATTCTTCTCAATCATGTTTGCTTGAATTTTCTTCTTGTCCTACTTTGGTGCACGACATTCAGTAGCTTTGTGTCCAACCTTTCCACAGTTGTGGCAATTACCTTTGAACCTCTTCTTGCTTGGATAATTCTTTGGTCCAGACGGCCTCTTTCTCTTTTTACTCGTTGAAGCTTCCTCAACAATATTTGCACCCATTATTGTTGAATTTCCACGAGATTTCTTTTCAGCAGCCTTGTTGTCCTCTTCAATCCGTAAACGAACAATAAGGTCTTCAAGCGTCATCTCCTTGCGCTTATTTTTCAAGTAATTCTTAGAGTCCTTCCACAGCAGAGGCAGCTTTTCAATAAACGCCGCAACTTGAAACGCTTCATTTATGACCATAACTACAATCAGAAATTTATAATAAACACAATAATCAATATATTGAATAAGAATATTGACTCATTTTATACCTTCAGCGAGGAGGTCATGAACAATAACTTGCAATTCCTGGACTTGCGTTATGACAGATTTACCATCAACCATTTTGAAATCCAGAAATTTGGCGGCCCCAAAATTCTTTAGTCCGGCATCTTCAGTCTTGTACTTCTTTTCAAGAGCATTCCATAATTCTCTTGATGTTTTCATGACGCTATAAATATTTTACAAGTCGTCTTCCAAGCAACTTAAAATATAGTTTTTGCATAAAAAGTCAGAATACTTCCATGCCTCAGTGACCACAAATCGTTCATTTTTAGGAGTTTCTTCTCCTAGAACTGGAACGTCTTCGCTAATAAAGTGTTGTAAACTGAGTGTGGTCGGGTAAAAGAACATTTTCTGCTGCCACCGCTTAAAGTCCACACTAGAAAACTTTCCGGGTTTTTCTGCTGGTGCCATCGCTGGTGCAGGAGTTGTGCGACTTCAAAACGCATTTGTCGTTGTAGCAAAAGTCCCAATAGAACCATTCTATTGTTACGCACTTGTTGTCATCTTTCTGTAAAAGAAATTGACAAATAGATTAGTATCTCGGTAAAGTTTTTATATCTTCAAAACAAATACAAACAACCAAGTTTTTATATCTCGAATTGAGTAGAAAGTCACAAAGACTTTAATCTCAAATTTGAGTAGAAAATCCAAAGATTTTAATCTCTAAAACGGGAGTAAAAAATCAATAAAATTTTAGTCTCCCAAAGCAGTAAGTAAGATTGAATACAGAAATAAAATGTTAAATTCCTTAAGCTTGTTAAAACTCTGTATTCAAAAATCAGTAAATGAACAAGCGTTAGTTTAAAAACAAAAGTAGAAAATTCTGAGCCCACAAGTTTCTTGTGTTTCCTTAAGGGATTTAATCCCCACACAATGCCAAGGTTGCGGATTAATCCCTCCTAGGATAGAACGGAATAACTATTCTGTGATAGCAGCACTTCAAATCACAAAATTTCGTCAAACTCAAATGGCGGAGCAAATCACACAAAATGCTTACATTTTTGGTTTTGGAAAACAATGCAGAATGCAGAAGTTTGAGGGGAGTGATTTCAGATTTTTCGGTGGTGGAAAATGAGGCTAAGCCCCTCTATTTATAGCCAAATTTGGCATTATTTCTGAAAAGGTTTGCAACCTTTTAGAACAGCCATAGTTGTTGGAACGGGTGGAAAAAATTACGGGAAACAACTAACGGATTTAAAATAATCCGGGAAAGAGAACGGACCGGACCGGGTCGCGGGTTATTCCGGATTGAATTTTCGTTAATTAATTTAATTAATTAATTGAAAAGAATTTTATCTAAAAAGATTAATCAATCAATCTAAAGTCGAAGCCGAGCCTAGCGAGCGAGTGAGCGACGACGGCGCGGGGCACCACTTCTTCTTAACTCTTTAAGAGCTAAAAGATGAGCTTCTATATATATACACAAAGATTTTCTTTCCTTCTTCCAATGAGGGACAAAGTGCATTAGTAAAGTGAACTTATTTAAAATTTCACTTCCCTCCATTTCTTTTCCCACCATTTTCCATTCACACCTTCTTTTGTTATTAATAACAAAACCCAACAGTTTCTTGTCCTATTGTTCTTAATGCTCATTCGTAAGACTTCGTTAGACCTAGTACTACTATGATAGCTTACGAAATATAGACCCTCATTCTCACATATATTGTTTGGAGCTGATGCTTATTTTTCTTGAGGGATAATAATGTTGAAGAGGTCTTAGAAAGCAATCACCAGAATGGGAAGACACAAAGCATGTTGCTATTCATATATTTCTAAGATCAAGTCTTACTAAAATCACTAATAAGTGCTATTATGAGTATCGTGACAAAAGACACGGGGTAATTTCACTAATGGTCATTCAACTATCTTTCAATTTCACTAAAGTCACTCAACAACTTTTTGTCACTTAAAAGTAACTAAACTTTGTCTTTATCATTTAAAGGTCATTTTGGCTCAAAAACCTACCATAAATATGACATGGCATAAACTTTAATGATAAAAATCTAAAAATAAATGTCACATAAGCTTAAATCAACCATACTCTCTTTGGATCCATTTCTTCCTTGATGTGATTTGACTCATAACCCAAATTCTTTCAATTAAAAAAAATTAATTTCACATTACTTTAAAATGATTATCATATACTACAAAATTCTTGCCTTTTCTGTTACATAATGCTCATTTATAATTATTTTATACTAAAAAAAATTCTTATCTTATATGTATGCCCCATCCGAGTCGTTTTATAACTCTACTGAAGTTAAATGTGATGTCTCAAAAGGTCATCACTTGTTTTATAAATAAATTTTTCATTCTGAGACCTTAAAATCCTATTTCACCATTACCTCAATTTGCGTGCGCAGTTCGGGCGCGTAGCCGAAAAGCTATTATGTGAAAATCTGTGAAAATTGATGAATTTTGGCTTTAAAATATATTTAAGTTGACTTCGGTCAATATTTTGGGTAAACGGACCCGGACCCTTGATTTGACGGTCCTGGAGGGTCCGTAGGAAAATATGGGACTTAGGCATATGCCCGGAATTGAATTCCGATGTCCCAAGACCGAGAAATGAATTTTTAGAGAAAATTATTTTCTGAAATATTTATGAGTTTTTGAAATGAAATGTGTTTAAACATTTGATGGTATCGGGCCCGTATTCTGTTTCCGGAGCCCAGTACAGGTCTTATATGTGGGTTAAGTCGAGTCTGTAAAATTTGGTAAGAAACGGATTTGAAACGACGTGAATCGGACCGTATTTGGAAAAATTGCAAAATTTGAAGTTCTTAGGTGATTCATGATTTTGATGCTAAATTCATAGTTGTTGGTGTTATTTTGGCGATTTGATCGCACGAGCAAGCCCGTATGGTGTTTTTGAGGTAGTGTGCATGTTTAGTTTTGAGCCTCGAAGGATCGAGTGAGTTTCGGGTAGGTTTCGGAAGGTTTAAACATAGAAAAAGTTGCAGGTTTTTAGTTTCTGGTGTTCTGGTGTGTTGTTCTTCGTGTTTGCGGAAGGACTCTCGTGAACGCGAAGGGTAAGTCAGGCTGAAGGAAACTTCCTTCTACACGAACGCGAGACACAGGACGCAAACGCGAAGCTTTGGGGGTGTTTCCTTTCGCGAATGCGGGCCTGCTATCGCGAACGCAAAGGCCTTTGGGTCAGGGAAGGGGAGAGGGATTTTACTCTACGCGAACGCGTCTACACGACCGCGAACGCGAAGGCTCTGGGGGCTGAAACTCCGGGAATGCGAGCCTTTTATCTCAAACGCAATGGTTAATTGGTCCTGACCCATTGCGAACACGACAGACCCATCGCGAACATGATGAAGGTCTTCCTAGTGATTTTAAAACAAAAGCAAAAATGGGATTTAACCCAAAACTCATAACTTCTTCTTCCAAACGTCAAATTGGGCGATTTTTGAAAGAGAACTTCACGAGAAATTCATAGGTATGTAATCTTAGACTCATTTTCTTTAACTTTCATTAACACCCATTAGATTTCTAGGCCTAAATCATATTTTTAAGGGTAGAAAATTAGGGATTTGGGTAGAGTTAGGGCTTTTTGTATAATTGGAATGTAGACCTCGTTTTGGGATCGGATTTCGAAACTAATTACATATTCGGGCTCGTAGTGAATGGGTGATCGGATTTGGTTTGAACCTCGTATTTTGACCAAGCGGGACCGTGGTCGATTTTTTACTTTTGGGGAATAATGATAGGAAATCTATAATTAAGCATTGGAATTTAATTGTTTAGCATGTATTGATGTTATTGAGTCGATTGTGTCTAGATATGATTGATTTGGAGCCGAATTCCAAAGGAAAAACATGTTTGAGGCTTGAGTTGGCCGTGGAAGTTTGAGGTAAGTGTTTGGTCTAACCTTAGCTTGAGGGATTAGGAGTTGTGTCCTATTTGCTATGTGTTACTTGTTGAGTACGACGTATAGGCATGGTGACGAGTATCTATACGTGGGTGTCAAGCATGACCGTGAGTCTTAAAGTGAAATTATTGTGCTCTTAATAAATACTACCAATGCCTAAGTTATTGATTCTCTGTGTTGAGCAAGGATTATGATTATTCTCGTGGAAATTACTTATGATTGAGTATTGGTGCTAGTTGAGGAAGTTAGATGTTGGAACAAGTTTGGTCATAGCTGGTTTTCCCTTGCCGGGACGTATTTACTTATACTGTCGATTCCCTTGCCGGGATAGTGTCGTTTCTTTATTGATCCCTTGTCGGAACTCTCTTTGTGATTTGGTGTTGAACTGTATATGTGGATCGGTTGCACGCTGCAACAATATTATATTTGGATCGGGTTGCACGCCGCAACAATAATATGTTTGGATCGGGTTGCACGTCGCAACAATAATATAATTGGATCGGGTTGCACGCCGCAACAATAATATAATTGGATCGCGTTGCACGCCACAATAATGATAAATGATATGGAACGGGTTGCATGCCGCAACAGTGTTATTATGATTTGGATCAGGTTGTGCGCCGCAACAATAGATAATAAAAAGTGCTATTGATTGGTTACGAGTTCCTTATTATTTTGCTATGAACTCTAAATTATCCTTATGATTTTCTCATGAATTACTATTGATAAATGATATTCCCCCGCAACATGTCCCCCTCCCATCTTTACTTGTTTATTTCTGTTTTATTTTCTGTTGTATATTATATAACTGCA